TATTGAAGAAGAAAGTTTGATGATGCAAGTAGAATTTCACTTTTGTGCTATCAAATTCAACTTTGGCCTCTTAAATTAAGAGTGTTAAAAACTTGTCAACACTTAAGAGTTTTTCTCTATCTTTTCTAGAGTAAATGCCTTTCATTCAAGGAATTTTATTCCATAGGGAAGGGAAGTAATATAGGAATGTTCTCCTACAGTGAGAATTTTTATTTTGAGGGGATATGCTCGGGAATATAAAATTTTCCCTTGTTGTCTCTGCGTGTGTTTGTGTACAATGATGGAGAATTTTTTTTTAAAAAGGAAGAATAACTGCATCACCTGTCTGTGCTCTGGATGCCATGCTGTCTTCCTACTGGTTCCACTCTCTGCCTTTTGCTCAGCTATAAAGTGAGGCACCTGTTGGCCCAGAGTTTTATGTCAGTGGTTTTATGGGATTCCCAGTAGACCTAGAACACTTTAATCCAAATGTTCCATTTTAGATCACTGTGCTTCAATGGCCCAACAGTGTGGTCCTGTTAACATTTTTCACATGCATATATTGTAAATCTGAAGAGGATTTACAATAATTATTTTAGACTATGTATTTAAAAGCCTATGCAAGGCCTCAGCATACAATAAATTCCAAGTATCTTATTCTGCAGAATGAATTATTTCAAGTAACCATATCACTTTTTATATTTTTGGAGAAATTTTACGTACTTGCAGGTATTAAGTATATACATATAAAAAACAAGTCAGGTTTGTCATTATTATTTCTCTCTAGGTCATGCCTATCCCATCCCTTCTCTTAAAACGCCAACCTTGCAGGAGAAAATGCTGACTTTTTCTGGATACAATATATACTTAGATAAATGGAAAACTTGTGGGAAAGAAATTATAAATTGACAATGTCAACCTCTTACAAAGAAAGCTTATATAGAATGTTTTACAGATGGCACTTGCAACCAGCAAGAGTAGCAAAATGGTTTAAAAATATGTCAGATAGATGTTGGAAATGTAATCACAAGTCAGGTACCTATTACCATGTATGGTGGACATGTGTTAAAGCAAAGAGATATTGGACAAAAATACATACTTGGCTAGAAAAGATGTTGAGAAAACATCTAGATTTTAAACCTGAACCTTTCTTAGTAGGTATAATGCCAGAAAAGCTTGACAAACAAAGTATATACTTGATTTTACATGTGATAACAGTGGCAAGAATCATATTTGCACAATATTAGAAAAATGAAGAAATACCACCAGAGGAAGAAATAATTAAAAAAATACTAGATTATGCGGAAATGGAAAGTCTTACTCTGAGGTTGAAAGAAAAAGAAGAAACAGAATACTTTCAAAGTTGGGACTTATTTTATGGCTGGAGAAAAGAATAAGGGATTAGGAATTCAATTTGTATTAGTGAATGATAAACTCAGACAACACCTTTGTTGAATAAGTACTTTTGAATTGTATTTAAAAATCAATTATATATATATATAGTAAAAATATAGACAACAGTGAACACCAGGAAAGGTAAAAAACTATAAAAGTTTTAATAAATTACGATCCAAGCTTTCACCGGCTCACTGCCGGCATCTTCAGGGATCTATGTAGGTCAATGGGAGCACGCTTTTTATGATCAAGCCACCTTTGCACCCGGCCCATGGATGCTACCATGGAGCTCCATCAGCCAATCGCCGTTCCAACTCCGTTTTCGTTCTATTTAACTAATTCACCTGCGCTGTTCCTATCCTTGCACAACTTGCACCACCATTCCGCTCACCTTCTCTCCTCCTTCCTTCCTGTACTTCCATACCAATACTCCGTTTTGCTCTACCGGGGGTGGGTCCGCATCGTGCGCTAATGCTATCACCACCCCTCCCCCCTCCAGATGCCCTACGAAGTGCCCTGCCTCGATCTACGCTGCTCGGTACTCCTCCTCCTCCATGCCCGGCTGATTTTTCAACTTTCTTTTCATGTATTTATTAAATATGCAAACAAACAATCACTCTCCTCCCACTAACACTGTCTGGTTCTCTGTGCCTGTGACACCTGTTAACAAAATATCCATCATTTACAAAAACAGTTGGAAAACAACTCTTGCTACTCATTTTTTCTTATTTACAATGAAGGAAACTGACAGTCTGTGAATTG